ATAGATTCTAAGAAATGAGCCTTAACGATGACTTGGAAAATAACTTAAGAATCTTCAAACATAAGTAGAAGCCAGAAAGTATTATAGGTTCAATAATAAGATGCAACTATATGCTTCCTACAAGAAACACCTTTGAAATAATTAGAGAAAAATTCATCTAGAATAAAAACAGAGTAAATTATACCCAACTAACATAACCCATAATCAAAATAAAAGTGGGTCATCTGTATATCTCATTGCAACTAGTATCACCAGAGTAAGAGATGGACATTTCATAGGAGGATAGGGACAACTACATGAAGGAAGCACAGTAATTCTCATGTGTGTGCCTCAACTGTTTGTAAGTCAAATGTTCTAGGAAAGGATAAAACTTGACAGACAAGCACAGAAAACTGGGTTAATCTATAAGCACGGGTCAAGTGTTTCAGTATCTTTTCCTTAACAACTTCCAAGGCAGGCAGACAGGAAATTATAACAATACACAAGTCCTGAGAGGACAACCAAAAGGCTTATCTAAATGATGACATTAAAAAAAATGACACCACATTCTGGGACATCGAACAGACCTCAAAATTACATCAAAACCACATGAAGTATGCTCTCTCACTACATCAGAATAAGACTTAAAATCAATAAAAAAAAAATACATCTGCAAAACATCAAAATATCTGAAAAAGAAATAAGATACTTCTAGACCAAATTACAAGACAAATTAAAGTCATTCTAATTGAAAGTGAAAACATGATTTTGAAAATAAACTCCCTCCCTCTAGAGCAGGTCCACAAAGCACTCAAGGAGGACTCCACTGGTGATGACCTGAGGCCCCAGCTGGGGACCTAAGTGAATGGAAACTGGCATCCAACTAATCTGAAAATTTAAATAGCAATTTTAGAGTAGAAATTAGTTACACAGAGATAAAAAATAAAAAAGGAAGTCAATAGAACCAAAAGTCTCATCGACTGATTTTTTGAGAAGTTCCAAAATATTAATCAATCTCTAGCAGATGAGCAAAGAAAATAAAATATGACACAAATTACCAATATCTGAACACAAGAGACATAACCAAAATTTCCACATTACTAAAAGGACAATCTGGAATGTTATGTTAAACTTAAATACAAATATACTTATCTAAAGGAAGAATGTGTAGTCAGATGATTAATAAAATCCTACATCTATTTCTAGAATAAAAGCACCTATTTGAAAGCTCACCTTAGCATAGAGCTTTGCCACAGGCAGCCAAAGCTAGAGTTATACCCACGGTGAGAACAGGAGGCCAGAGTTACACCCACAGTGAGAACAGGAGGCTAGAGTTACACCCAAGGTGAGAACAGGAGGCTAGAGTTGCACCCACGGTGAGAACAGGAGGCCAGAGTTATACTCATGGTGAGAACAGGAGGCCAGAGTTACACCCACAGTGAGAACAGGAGGCTAGAGTTACACCCACGGTGAGAACAGGAGGCTAGAGTTACACCCACAGTGAGAACAGGAGGCCAGAGTTACACCCACAGTGAGAACAGGAGGCTAGAGTTGCACCCACGGTGAGAACAGGAGGCCAGAGTTATACTCATGGTGAGAACAGGAGTCTGGAATTACACCCACAGT